ACCTGGTGGGCCGGTCTCTAGTCAAAATGCCCGGGCCGATTTTTTGTCCCAGTCCAGTCCAGCCCGTAAGGAATCCGTGTTACGTTTGCTTATTGAGAACACTATTGCGTGACGATCCCCACGGTGTTGTATTTGTATTGAAATACAGTACTGAGCATTGAATCAGCTCTAGTTTATTTATATTTTGTTTCGAATCAGCCAGACTTTGTTGAATTGTTGAAAGTGGTCTTGAGTAATGGGCATTTAGGGTTTCAGAAGTCTTTCAAAGTTTCTCTCCGGCTGCTTTTTCACTCAAAGGATGAAACACATTTTTGACTACACAAAACTGGCATCTTGGCAGAAAGAACCAATTTTAAAGTGTATCTTTAGACACTACATCAGATCAACAGTTTCTGAAAGTCATGCCCTTAAGAAAATGATAAAAATCTAATAAATGCCTGAAACAAGAGATGCATCTAACCTTTCAGGTGGTCCACTTACTGTTTTCAGTGTAATAAGGATGGATGTAAGAAGCCACTCTGAAAGAAGGGAAGCAGGGAGAAAAGCCTGTGTGCACCTTCTTGGTGTGTTTCTGAGTGTGTTTGCACTTGTTTCAATAAAAACCTGCACCTATTTCCAATTTTATTAGCAAAATTTAAAGAAGGAAGAGTGACTCAAGGCCTTTTCAGCATATTGTTACTTTCACGATCATCCTAAATCAGATGGATTTGAACATGCTTGTGTCTTGCTTGGCATAAGTCTAGTTTAAAAAAAGAAGAATTAAATTATTTTCTGTTTCTTTCAGCCCCATCGAAAGAAGAAGGCATTTATTGACAAGAAGAAGGCTGTGACCTTTCACCTCGTCCACAGGAGTCAAAAGGACCCTCTGGCTGCAGATGAGAAAGCGCCACAGCATGTCCTCTTGCCTGCCACAAAGGTACAACCTTGCTGTTCTGATCATAAGTCTTTTTACTCATGTTCACAGGATGTGTGTTTAATGTCTGATTTTATAGCTGATTTTTAGCTTTTATTGGTTTTTAAGAACCCTAAAGGGGGTTAAACTGTTCAGGACTTCACAATTAAAAAGGAATGAGCAAAGTCATTTGTCATAATTAGAGTTGTTATTTCTTCTTTTGTATTTGTTTAATCATGTTCTTCTGCTCTGATTTCCTTTGGTCAAACTAAAGGGGCTACGACCCGGTGGCTAATATTTCACTTCATTTCAGAAATGCCTTGTTAATGTGATGCTGTGATCATGTGTTTGTTGTTGCTTAGGTGGAAACGGAGAAGAGGCGTGAGGAGCAGCGGAAATTTGGCGTATTCTTTGATGATGATTATAACTACCTTCAGCACCTGAAGGAGGCGTCGGGCCCATCTGAGCTCGTGTACTCTGACAGACAGCCTCTTTCCCTCCAAGATGAAGAGGAGGAGAATGAGGGGGAAAAAATCGTGCACAAGGACAATCCTGTGAGTTGCTGTGAAACATTTTTAACAGACTTGTGCACCATCTAGTTACTCTGAGGAATTGATCTAAAATGATCCCTGTGTTGTTCAACGAGCAGGCCGCCTCCATCAACCTGCCTTCTTCAGTGTTCGCCTCAGAGTTTGAAGAGAAGGTGGGACTTTTGAACAAAGCTGCTCCCATTTCAGGTAAACAGCCCATCACTTAAATGGAATAAAGTGTTTTAGGACCTTTATCAAGCTTCTCAAATAATAGTTATCTTAATAACTTGGATATAAATCATCATTAAATACTGTCTGAATGTTGTCGCTCAAGATTTGCCACACTAATTACTAGAGATGGACCGATCCGATATTACGTATCGGTCCGATACTGACCTAAATTACTGGATCGGATATCGGAGAGAAATAAAAAATGTAATCGATCCATTAAATATCAGAAAAGCACCTCACAAAACTTGCGACACGGTGTAACTCGGCCCATAACCGTAGCACGTCGGAGTAGTGTGGTCACGTGATAGAGCGGCTGTGTGTATTTGTAGCCTCGCTACCAATCCGGCATTTCATCTCCAAGAAAGTTTTCCCAGAGAGAAGTAAA